GTAAAAAATGCAATAGCAAAGAGTGGGAATCCATGATTGATTTATCAAAACAACACTTGAAAGTCTTCCTAGATCTTGTGACATAATATAAAATCACTGGTAGCTGAATTCTTAACTCTGATCCTAACACCCAGCTCATTTTTTTCCCTTAAGATATACGTGTAATTTTAAAAAAACAAAACGCAAAAAACTATCACACACTTTAATAAAAAAAATATTAAAATAAAGTTTACCTCCCACCCTTGACTTGCAGTTTCCCAATTACCTCAAAGAGAAGAAACTATTTAGTGTCTTCTTCATCTTTCCAGATAGTCTATGCCTGTATAAATATACAGACAGCCTTTGAAAAAAACTAAGTGTACACTCACATTGGCTTGTATTCCATGCCCATGTATATTTTTGAATACCTGTAGAGTATATGCCTATAGATCAAATACAATTTAACCAGTCACTTACAGATGGATAGTTAGGCTGTTCTGCTACCACAAAGTTGATATTTGAATACATTTATATCTGTAGGATTAATGAGTTTGGTTTGGTTTTATATCTGTAGGATTAATTTATAGAAATAGGATTAAGAATCAAAGAGCATATATGTGTTTTAAATTTTCACAGAGATTGCTAACTTTCCCTCCAAAAAGCCAACATCAATTTTAATTTTTACTGGGGAATGTTTTTTCTCCCCCAATCACTACCCAACAAAGAATATTAGCTATCTTTTTGATCTTTATCAATGTAAATACAAAATTGTATCTCACTTGTTTTTATAGTTTCCTTAAATATGAGTGAGGCTCAGTATGGTTTTATGTGTTTAAAACCCATTTGCATTTCTTCACAAAACTCTTTTAACTGTAAGAAACTAAAGACAGGACTGGGTTTATGTTCACCAGACATTCTGTATACATTCTACACAAAGAAGCAAAATTGTGTAGAAATCAACCTGTGAAAGTGGCATCTCCCCCAAATATTTATATCCTGCTCTTCCAAATCATCAATTGAATTAAACTTTAAGTCAAAATCCTATACATGCAGGAGAAGAAAAGTGACATTCACAATTGTTTCTACATCATAGTATCTTTTACAATATTAAGGATGCAACATTGAAACCAAATCCATTCATTTTCTTAAGACTGTGGCTAATCAATAGCTAAAAGGTATTACACAGTGTGATAGTTAAGGTTGTGTGTCAACTTGGCTGTGCCTGGTTGAGTGGATGGGCAGCTGGTGGTAGTTATTCCCCTTGATGAGACTTGCTAACAACTCCATGGTGGGATCTACCACAAGTAGCTGAGTAGCTGCTTTAGGGATGTGGTCTACTTCCTGTATATAAGCAGCAGCTTTGGGAATGCTCTCTAGCTTACGGCACGCTTGAATCCAGCATGCAGCCGAGTCATTGTTCGGCAGCCTGCCATGCTCTGCCAATCTTGGGACTTTCAATGGACTTGAATCAATGGCCTGCCGTGGTGTTTGGTAACATTGGGACTGTACCTTTACACTTGCCAACCTTGGGCTTGTCAGCCTCAGCAGCCAGCAGCTGTCTGAATGAAGAAAAGCCTCTAGCTTCAGTGAGCCTGGGGCAAGAGGCACAGCTTATGCCCAAGGTCGAGGGGCTTTCACCCAGCTCCTAGAGCCTGGCACTTTGAATTCAGTCTTATCTCCAAAACTGTAAGAGAATAAACTCCTATTTGTTCAAGCATCCTATTTGTGGTATATTTCTCTTCAGAGTGGCACTACATAACCAATACACACAGAAAGAATGTCATCATTAACAAGTAGGTAACAAGTAGGCACTATGTAACCAATACACACAGAAAGAAAATCATCATTAACAAGTACGTAAAGAGGAAATCTGTACCTTTACAAGTGAAAGAGGCAATTTTTGTAAAGTTTGTCGCAGACGTAGGTAACAATACTGGTTCAAACTTCAGAGACAGAGCATCTCTCTGTGAGAAATGATGTACATCCTGTAACCAAAAAATACCCACATTACTTCTCTCAGCTGTGAGACTATCCAGTGTGGATCAAAATAACCAAGACTGAGCAACTGCTGCCTGTGTAACAGTACAAAAGGGATAGTGACCACCTTCATCCAAATATAAATTCAAACAAGGGAAAATGGGTTTAATTTAAAGCAAAACAGAAAAGATTCAAGTGTTTCTTTAATAATGGTCATGTTCTACAATTCAGTGCACACTTACAATTTCAAAATTTACTTTCTGTAAGCATTTGCAATTACCTGTATCCATATAAGGCTGTTTCCTGAATGTAATATATACATATTTACTGCAGAATCATCTGTCCAAAAGAATCAGAGCAACCACATTAAAACAAAGAGCCATGTTCTTGCAGTTAAATTAAAGTATCTATCAATTTATTAATTGAAATACCATGCTACATATTTCTACTGAAAAAAAGTAGCTCATTTTTCAACACTGAAACTGCAACTAGGAGCTTTTTTGTGTTGGGCATTCTTTTTAAATCACAAGTAAAGTATATCCTTACAAAAAGATTTTCATGCTAACATAACCTATTTAAATAATGAAAACACCAGTAGAAAAATTCAGGGTCTAGGGTCATGACACTGCTCCTCTGGATGAAGCTAACCAATTAAACAACTCCAAATAAAACGATGTTGTCCTGTTGGTTGGACAGTCCCTCATTTCCTTATTTTAGACAATCACAGTTGGACAGAATAAAACCCTGGGATCTCAAAATCTCTTTAACCCACCACAACAAAAATATTCTCCACAGGACAAGAATCCTTCCTATATCGTCATTCACCTGGCCATCACAGAATCACCAAGAAACATAAACCTGAGGACAGGAAAGCTCTCCTGCTGACCCATGACTACAACATCCAATTCTGAGGGCTAGGAAGTAAATAAAGTTTAACAATCAGCATTGGTGGCATAGTGCCTAAAGCATTTGACTGCTAACCAGAAGACTGGGAGTTCAAACCCACCAGCCACTCCTTAGAAGGAGGACTGGGCAATCTACTTCCATAGAGACTCTGCCTCGGAAACCCAAGGAGGGGTCGTTATGAGTCAGAATCAACTTGAAGGCAGTGAGTGAGTTAATGTAAAATTATACATTTGATACCATTTTTTCCTCTGAATCTACATCTATACACACACACACACACACACACACACACATTCACATACCACAATAGACTTGATAACCAACAAACAGTAGCAAATCCTACATTATAAATTTCATGGACCATATAACATGCATCTCTTACAAAAGTTCTTAGAAAGTTAAAGCAGTAGTTTATTTCTGATAAGTAGGACATACATTTTCAAAGATTAAATTTATAGCAACAAACACTGAAGTTCATACCACTCTACCTTGTCGGATATCCAGGAATAATTAGCATCTAAATGACTATAAAGTGGCATGATTTGCTTAACAGAGTGTCTGCAAATCAGTACGATCAAGAGATTGTCATTGTGTGCCCTCAAATTGATTTTGACTCACAGTAATTCTATCAGACAGAGTAGAACTGCCCCATAGATTTTTCTAGGCTGTAATCTTTACAAGAACAAATCACCAGGTCTTTTCTCCCATGGAGCCACTGATGGGTTTGAACTGACAACCTTTCAGTTAGCAGCTAAGCACTTAACCACTGTTTCATAAGGGCTCTTTAAATACTTTATCAATATTTATATTACACTGTCATGCCCTTTTAAGTTGTGTTGCTGTTATATGCCACTCAATCAGTGCTAACTCACAGTAACTCTAAACAACAAAGAACTTCTCCATAGAGGTTCTTAGGCTATAATCTTTATGAAAGTACAGTCCATGGAGCCAATGATCTTTTGGTTTGCAGTACAGCACTTAACCACTATGCCACCAGGGCTCCTTTTAATGTGCACTACACCTCTAAAAAGCCAAGAAAAATTATCCCTAAGTAAAATCAAAACAGATTGCATTTACATCCCAAAATAATACGGCCTTATTAGTTAGTATCTGCATTCTGAGAACCAGTTATTCTTACAGTCCCTTAATGAAAGCAAAGTCCTTTGCCTTAGTTTGCTATGATACTACCTTCAAGTAAATATTATAAAATGATGATGCAGGTTAATAAAAAGATATTATAATGAAAACTGAAGAAGATTCCACCTTACCTGAGGTCTCAGATTTATCTGTAGCTACACAAACAATAGAAAGATGATCTAATAAATCTTGTGTGTTCTCTTCAAATTCTATTGAGGAACTGTCCGTTGTTACAATTATGCTCATTTGTAGCCGCAAAACATCATCAGATTCCAGATAACAACTCTGAGATTGGAGGGAGAAAATATAAGGAAAAACTGAAAAAAAAAACCCAATCAACTGAACTTTATGGCTTCAAATTTTAGAAAAAGAATAGCATATGGTAAGGGCATGTGTATTTCTGAGAAGAAAATGTTCTGTTTTGTTTTTGTTTTTACATAAAGAGGCAGCAAGGAAGCAGGGAGAAAGCACTAAAATTATTTTACCTTTAATTGCTGACACACTTTATTATGTAAACTGCATTCCAGTTGTACCTTCAAAAGGCTAGTATTAGTGGTTTCTGCCTAAAAGAAGAAAAACAGGGAAAGAACATAAAACGGAAGCAAAAAGCTCAATCTAGAGTTATTAACAAATAATCATTTGTTCAGAAACTACATTTATTCATTCATTAATTTATCTACTCAACAAATACTTGAGTATCTGGCTAAATGATGGGTATTATTCTATTTACTGGAAACACAACAATGAAGAAAATAGAATCTGTGCTGTCACTGAGCTTATATTCTAATGAAAATCATAGGCTCTTCCCTGGGTGAGATAAAAATTCTTATTATAAGTGAGTAAACGTATGCTAAGTATACACAGGAACGCTGTAGTTTCTCATTTCTTACATTTGTTAAATATTTTGCTTAAACACGGTCTTTTATTTTAAAGTAGCTGTTCTTATGTGTGCCTTCCATCAGTAGGATGACCTTAGAGGTTGTGACCCCCAAGTCATACAAAAGCTCAAGAGATATCCAAAACTGAACTGGGTATCATATTCAATATCTGGAAGACATATGGATATAAGCAACAAAAGTATATAAAAAGAATGCAGGATTTCACCAAGTTCAAAACAACAGGGTAATACAGACATTTCTTAAAGGGATACAGCCATTGGGTAGGAAGATGTTGATGCTTGAATACACAGAAAAGCAGTGCAGCATGTGACTGTAAAGAATCTGGGCTATGAGATTTCCTCTTTCCTTAAGCTTGATGTCATGAGTATGGTGATTATTAAAAGGTGCTCAGCCTGACAGCCACAGTCAGAACATCTGGAAACCTCTGCAATGAAAGAATGCATTCCCCAAAGCCCAGGCTGACATAACTGTGGAAAAGGGTCTAGTAACCCCAGGAAGATTAATTAGAATCACCACAAATGTTTCATTTGTTAGATTTATAAGAAGTATCTCAGTACATTATACAAAAATACATTTTAATAACTTTGTTATTCAGGCAATTAAAGTATAGGGAATAAAAGCAAAATGCATTGCTTTTTTAATGCTGTTATATTATTTCAGGAGTTTAACTAAGCTTGTAAATAAGACCAAACATTAATTAAAGGTGCTATGAAAAAGTAGGAGCTCTGGTGGTCCAGTGCTAAGGCATCTGACTGCTAAGCAGAAGGCTGGTGGTTCAAACCACCAGCCACTCCTCAGAAGGAAGATTGGGCAATCTACTTCCATAGTGATATCACCTTGGAAACCCAAGGAGGGGTTGCTATGAGTCGGATCTGGCTTGACGGCAGTGAGTTTGGCTTTTTTGTTTTTTTAAAAAAGTAATGTGCTAGTTCTTCACAAAGGAGCTCTGGTGGCATTATGCCTAATGGATAAATCATCTGGCTGCTAACCAGAAGGTCAACGGTTCAAACCCACCAACTGCTGTGGAAGGAAGATGAGGCAATCTACTTCCATACAAGATTTATAGCCTCAGAAAGCCAATGGGGGTCACTATGAGTTGGAATCGACTCAGTGGCAGTGGGTTTGGTTTTTTGGAGTTTTTCAGAATGATTAACAGAGAATTACACTAGAGAATCCAGCAATACCACTCCTAGCTATATACCTAAAAGAACTGCAAGCAGGGACTTTCAGGGACTTCTTCACCAATGTTAACTGCAGCATTACTCACAATGGAAACCAAAAGATGGAAACAACCCAAGGGCCCATCAACAGATGAGTGGATAAACACAACATGGTACATACATACAATGAAGTATTATTCAGCCTTAAGGAAATATAAAATCCTGATATATGCTACAATGACGTGGATGGATGAACCCTGAAAATTTGTCAGACAGAAAAGAGAGAATACTGTCTGATCTTACCAATATGAAGTAACTAGAATAGGAAAATGCATACAGACCAAGGGCACAGGGGGTGGGAGTGTGGGTGTGGAGAGGTATTGCTTAAGGGGTACTGAGTTCCTATTAAGATTGATGAAAAAATTTGGAAGTGGATACTGGGGAGAGTTGTATAACAAGCTATGCATACTTAGTATCACTGAATTACTCACATAAAAATAGCTGAAATAGCAAATGTTTTATTATATATATTTAACCACAATAATTTTCTTAAAAAGTAACCGCTAGCATCTGCTAGACATAAATAGAATAAGATTTGTAAATTGAATCTAAAAGAACTGTTGTTGTTGTTGTTGTTGTTATGTGCTGTCAAGTCGGACCCAACTCATAGTGACCCCTTCGTGGGTTTCCGAGGCAGTATCACTACGGAAGTAGATTGCCCCATCTTCCTTCCAAGGAGTGGCTGGTGGGTTTGAACCGCCAGCCTTCTGGTTAGC